CCGTTACAACTAAGATTTTAAGCAGAAATGATTTCACTAAAACTTGAAGTTTTACTGTAAGGGAAAAATATTAACTGTACTAATAAGTTTGGATGTCGTTTCCTTTCTCTGACCTATTCTTAATGAACATATTATTAGGAGAAATTCCATTGAAGCACCTCCCACATTTCTTTCCTTGCATAAATTATATCCTCTAAAAGGCTAGCTTCTGCCGGCGCTGCGGCTCACTAGGCTAATCCTCCGCCTAGCGGCGCCGGCACACCGGGTTCTAGTCCCGGTTGGGGCGCTGGATTCTGTCCCGGTTGCCCCTCTTCCAGGCCAGCTCTCTGCTGTGGCCAGGGAGTGCAGTGGAGGATGGCCCAGGTGCTTGGGCCCTGCACCCCATGGGAGACCAGGAGAAGCACCTGGCTCCTGGCTCCTGCCATCGGATCAGCGCGGTGCACTGGCCGCAGCGTGCCGGCCGCGGCGGCCATTGGAGGGTGAACCAACGGCAAAGGAAGACCTTTCTCTCTCTCTCTCTCTCTCTCACTGTCCACTCTGCCTGTTAAAAAAAAAAAAAAAAGAATAAAAGGCTAGCTTCTTAAGCAGACAAACCTGCCTAATTATCTCAACATTGATTTCAAAACTGGCCGTGCATTTTGTTTATTCATTCCTGACCTGATCTGAGGGAATTATGGTTTTCCAACCATATTTGACTGGCTTTAATACAATATTAAACAGATTGATATTATAGTTGGTAATATCTACTCACTCTTTTACCTATTTTTAAAAGTACACAAAATATAAAAATACATACAAAGTATTTTTAAAAGTATAACATTCACATGCAGCACTCTTCATGTTGACAAGTGTCATTTCTTTAGGAACTGCTGCTCAAAGACTATGATATGAAGAGTAAAATTATATTTAGTCTAATTTTTACTGCCTTAATATGATTAATAACATTTTAAACATACATTCTACAGGGCTTCCAAAATATTTTAATGCTCTATTTTTTATAGGTTATTAAGTAATGAGTAAGTTTCTGATTACTTGAGATCTCAGAAGTGAAGGTTATGTTGACATTTTCCACTGTTTTTCTTTCATTATAAATGTGTTTTAGTGGATACTTCTTTAGAAACTGGAATCATTTCTAGTTTCCTGAAAAGCCTTGAGATATATTCTCAAAATTAAGGAACCTAGATAAATGAAGTTAAAATATTTACATTTTGTTTGGTCATACATTAATTTCATATTTCCATTAATAACAAAAAGTAAAATATTTGTAATAATGAAATACCTATGCAAATTTAGGGAACTGCCATTCTTTTGTTTCTGCCATTCCTATGTTCTGAAGTACTAAAAAATTCAGTATCCTTGGTTGCTGATTTGCATATGGAGGGAGTATTGGCTGGATATGATCATTATTTGACAAATTTCAAATGACCTTCTGTTTGGAGAATATCAAATCTCTCAAATTAGAAATGCTCATGACTAATTCTGGGATGAATCCAGCCACTTTTGTTTGGAGTTCAGAACAGGAGAAAGAAAACACGTGAAAGAAAGAGGAAAAATACAGGGGCCGGCACTTTGGCGCTGTGGGTTAATGCCCTGGCCTGAAGCGCCAGCATCCCATATGGGCACCAGTTCGAGACCTGGCTGCTCTGCTTGTGATCCAGCTCTCTGCTATGGCCTGGGAAAGCAGTAGAAGATGGCCCAAGTCCTTGGGCCCCTGCACCCCCATGGGAGACCCGGAGGAAGCTCCTGGCTCCTGGCTTCAGATTGGTGCAGCTCCGGCCATTGCAGCCAACTGGGGAGTGAACCAGCGGATGGAAGACCTCTTTCTCTCTATCTCTCTGCCTCTCCTCTCTCTGTGTAATCTGACTTTCAAATAAATAAATAAATCTTTAAAAAAAGAAAGAGGAAAAATACAGCCAACAGACCACCACCAAACCACTCTAACAGTCTACTGGAAGAGGATTGATGTCTTTTATGCCAATGGACAATGGGGGAACCATCTGAGTTAGAACACTGAATCATTACAACTCCAAGATGTTTGGATTTTTTTATACCTCATATGGGATGCAATCCAAGGAACTTTATATTTGGTTCATGTGTGATTTGCAAATTTTGATGATTGAAATCAGAGAAGTATTAGTAAATCTCTACTGATTATAAATTAGTACTGGGCTGTCACCAGATTTTTTTAAATGTAAGTTTTCTTTATTCACTAGACAAGAAGGTCCTTAAGGGAAAAGGCTATTTGTATATTATTCATCTTTGTGTCACATCACCTAGAACCTGGTAGATACTCAATAAATACCTCTGAGCTGCATTGATCTTGGCTGAGTAAAACTGAATAAAGCACATAGAAATGGCCAGATTGTAAGCCAGTTTAACACAAAACTTATGTTAAATTAAAATGAACTATGAGACACATTACTTGAGAGAAACTAGGCTCTCCCAGTACTCCTACTCTTAAGAATATGAGTTAACAAAAAGTTTCCTTTAGTCATAGAAAGTAGAGGTTGATAAATATGCTACTACAATCTCTTTGAACTTACTTCCATGTATGATCTAATATTCAGAAGCTGATAAGGCTCACAGATGCAGAGGGACACTCCTGATTCACACTGAGGAGCTGAGGTCTCAGATCCAGGGAAAGCCGGGAACATACATAGTATACATCACCAAGGCGACATAGTCAGTGTACCTCAGCATGGTAGAAAAACAAGCACAGATGTTGATGCTGAATATTTAAAAAAGTATTCCAGAAACTAGGCAATAAAAATTCTTAACTTTTCTAATGTGTGTTTCCTAATTGCTAATACTCCATAAACAATCTGGGCCAATTAACATTACCTTAACACCAAAAATAAAGGTTCAAAGTTTGGTTTTGACATCAATGACACATATATTCTCTTACATACGAATCTGAAGCCAGTAAGTTAGCATAAAATGAGACTGTTGAAAAATCTCCTTCCGAGATAATATATTGCTGATGAGACTTCTATCTGCATTTTAAAATAACAATGTGGTGGGTTGTAGAATATAACTGTCACAATAAAAGGATAATTTTCTATAAGGAACTTGAAAAGGATATAGGAGGTAAAATATCAGGGCACTTCTATAGGCTGGGAAAAAGACAAGATTTTGGCAGAAATAAGCATACTAATTAATGATGAGACAGGAAAGAAATCTCTAAGCTTAACTCAAGCCAGGATAAAGTTATTACCCCAAGTTATCAACCTTCCTTTGCTGTTCTCCATGTTTACCAAGAACTTCCTGCTTACTTATCACTATAAATGAATAAATTTACATTCTAATGGGAATTTCCAAGTCTTAGCAAGTCAGTAGAGAATGGTTTCTCAACCTGAGGGTCAGTACCTTTGTTCACCTATGTAATATCCTGGGAAGTCCAGCTGGAACAGCCAGCCAAATGATCTCTGTCTTTTTATTATGCACCCTCACCTTTCTCACCAACTTCTAACTGTAACACAGGTCACCACAATCTTGTAAATGTCTGTATCCATCTGAAAAATAAAATCACATGTCATATATAGGTAAACAACCAAATGAAGGTGGCTGAGACACTAAAATAATAGCAAAGTTAATAGGAAGAAATGGCTTCATTACTAAATGAAATCATAACTACTCTTTTAACTCCAAAAACAGATTACTGCTCTTACTTAAGTAGGCCCCTGGCCCTTATACTTCACTTATAATGATAAATAAACATTCTTTGGGGAATATAGTAGGGAACTAAATCTGGAAGCTCTAGGTATTTGTTTAGTATGATTTCACTCAGTAGAAGGCACTAAAAAAATCAAATCTGAATCTTATAAAACACATTTGTCTACAGGATATGCAAGGGACATAAAAGCAAGTCAAGGGCCAGTATTGTGGCATAACAGGTAAAGCCACTGCCTGTGATGCTGGCATCCCATATGGGCTGCTCCACTTCTTATCCAACTCCCTGCTAATAGCCTGGGAAAAGTAGTGGAAGATGGCCCAAGTACTTGGGCACCTGCTACCCAAGTGGGAGACCTGGAGGAAGCTCCTGGTCCAGGCTACAGCCTGGCCTAGCCCTGGTAGTTGTGGCCATCTGGGGAGTGAACCAGCAGATGGAAGTTCTCTCTCTCTCTCTCTCTCTCTCTGTAACTCATTCAAATAAATAAATCTTTAAAAAAATTGAAAAGACTTCACAGTGATAGAATCCAAAAAATCCAAATGTGCCTAGAAACTTTACAAAACAACTAAATTTCTTAAATGATTAACTTAAAGGGGAAAAGGAAGGGAACCTATAAATTAAATGAGATTTAAGTAAATAACAACCAAATGCTACGTACAGATCTTGTCTAATTTAAACTAACCAACAGTTAAAACAATTAAAAAAGAAACAATCAAGGAAATATGAACACAATCTAAACAGTTATCATATTAAATAGTTAAATTCTGTAGGTGTGATAACGGTATTGTGCTTTTTTAAAGTCCACTTAACTTTTAAAGATACATACCAAAGCAGTTAGGAATAAAATGATAAGATATCTGGAATTTGCTTCAAATAACTGGGTGCTTCAAAATAATATGTAAAGTACAGATGAAACAAGGCTGGCTTTAAATTGAAGCTGGGTGATGGAGAAAGTTTCATTTTATTATTCCCTATACTTTTTAATATGTTTAGAATTTTCCATAATAAAAAGTTACACACATACACACACACACACACACACACACATACACACACACAGAATGGGTACTACTGGTTGCCAGGGGAGGGGAATGGACTAAGATTCCCAATCTAGCTAGCTTTAAGCTCATTAACTAGACAGATTCTTTGAGGGTCCACTACAAACTGACAAGTCCTCTTCTCAAGTCCTGCCTTTCATCTGACACCATTAGCCTAAGAAAAGACTTTAAGTCATCTGTCTGGTTACTTACCAGACACCTTTTAATGTCCAAGTTTGCTACCCAATTTTACTTGCATTTAAGAAAAATTAAAATTTCTGAAGCTAACAGAATTTTAGCATCTGTAGAATTTATTCAACATAACCACAGAGGCATTATCTTCATGCTGTCACACACACATACAAGCACAGATACAGCACAATATCCATATTTATCCCAATGCATTCCTTCTGAGGCTTATTTATATGTCTTCATATGCCACAGCCCATCATTTAAATAATGGATATTTTCAATGCCAATTCCTTTGTTGACTTTCTCGCTGTAGAGGGAAAAAACACAAACATTTTTATTCCTTTTTATAGGTTCTCTCATGGTAAATATAATCCAAAGTGCATTGCTATTTTATAACTATTGAGCCACATTAGGGAATTGTTATTACAGTTATATCTATATCAAACTATATTACTCTGTTGAAGTTGTGTTAAGATGATTTTAGCAGCCTGAATAGTGAGCCTAGGGGCAGGCACTTGGCCAAGCAGTTAAGACGCTGGTTGGGATGCCCACATCCCATACCAGAATGCCTGGGTTTGAATCCCAGCTACTGATTCCAACATCCTGCTAACGCAGATCCTAGGAGGTAGTAGGTGATGGCTCAAGTAGTTGGGTCCCTGCCCACCCATGTGGCAGACCTGGATTGAGTTTCTCTTCCTGGCTTTGACCTGGCCCAGCCCTGGCCGTTGTGGACAATTAGGGAGTGAACCAGAGGATGGGAGCATTCTCTCTCTCTGTGTTTCTCTGCATTTCAAATAAATAAAATAAAAATTTAAAGAAATAGTGGGTCTACAGAAGTAATATCATCACCAGAAAAGGAAAATATCAAAGTATTATAATAACCTTGAAATAAAATTAATAGGACTAATTTGGTTATTAAATGGGTTCCAAAGTTTTTAATGTTACCTATATTTTGATAATATATCTTTAATAGTCTCTCAATATTCTACACTTTTTATAGTACAAGATCAGAATACAAGATAAGCATTATATGGTACTGAACTATGTCACTGTATAAAAACTAGCAGCAAGACCTCTTTCCCCCTCCCAATTTAAACCACACCAAAAAAAACTTCCTTAATTATCACCTATATACATGCATATAAAACAGTTGTGCTGGCACATGGGTCCTTTTCAGAATACTTAAGAAAGAATGCAATGTTGAAGAAAAACTAGACTTCAGTGGCTTCTTAAGTGTTGGGAAAAATCAGAAATGAGGCTTTTGGGTTTAAAAATTCTAAGATGTGGTAGGAATGAGAGTAAATTCCACCTGTACTTCTGATGCTTCCAGAGTTGGTGACCAATATCTTAAAAGCTAAGGGGGCCTAAATGAGACTTACATGTCTTCTGCAGACATCTTCATGACTCCAACACACAGAGCATGCTGTTTCCCTTCAGCCATAATTGCCTGTAAATACACGGCTAAGAAAATTGTTTATCAAAATTCCTTGTGGAGGAAAGAAGGGTGAGGTATCAATGATCATGTTACTAAGGTAGCCACTTTGCATCCATCTTATGTTCTCTCCTAGGTCATTAACTCTTTTAAAGCAAGGACCTTATCAGTGTCTGTAAGGCACACTATAAATATTCACTAAATTCCAAATGTATGAATATTATTATTTTTGTTTCAAGTCAAATGTTAATACTATAGCCACATACTAACAAAACCAGAATGTCACGTAAGAAAGGAGGTAAGATTTCTTTCACATAAATACTAAAAACTTTGAAATTAAAAAAAAAATCAATTGTTCTAGTGTTTTGATCATTCATACATAAAGAGCACATTAAAATGATTGTATTCCAATTCTATCTTTAAGAACCCCATGTAATTTTTTCAACCTTTCTAAAATAACCACAATGGTCTTGGTTATCATCTGAAGTTTCTGGAATGTTATACACTGAAGTACATATTTTAAAAAGTAAAAGTTAAAGGGTACACAGGGCCTCTCCGTAGTATATTTTTGCAATTTTCTGTAAATATGCAATGATTTCAAAATACAAATTTTAAGAAAAAGTAAATGTTAGGTACTAGGATAAAGTTTCCCATTTAAGGGAAACTTCAGAACTATAAACTTACTAACACATAGAGAAATCATGAGCATACAAAGGTAACCTGTTCTCATAGACTACTTTTATCCATTGGTTTGCAGTTCATTCATTCTCAACCCAAGGCAACCAGCTACTACACTATGATAAAGAAGACAGCCTCCTGTCCAGTCCTGTTCAAACTAGTAGATAATAACCCATTAAATTCAGAATATACTGAAACAGCTACTTATAAATGGAAATCATGGAGAGTTATTCAGCTATGTCATGGCTTGAACAGACCCCTAAGGAATGTTTGGGACTTGACATTTCTCTTTGAAAAAACATTATGCCCCAAAGAACCAACTTAAAAATGAATTTTGAAAAAAGAAGTCAAAACTTTTCAAAATCTTTCACTACCTCTTTTTTTTTAAAGATTTTATTTATTTATTTATTTATTTTATTTGAGAGGTAGAGTCACAGACAGTGAGAAGGAGAGACAGAAAGGTCTTCCTTCTGTTGGTTCACTCCCCAAATGGCTGCAACGGCTGAAGCTGTGCCAATCCGAAGCCAGGAGCCAGGAGCTTCTTCCCAGCCTCCCACGTGGGTGCAGAAGCCCAAGGACTTGGGCCATCTTCCACTGCTTTCCCAGCCCAAAGCAGAGAGCTGGATTGGAAGTGGAGCAGCCAGGACTAGAACCGGCACCCATATGGAATGCTGGCACCGCAGGTGGAGGATTACCCTACTGCGCCATGGCGCCAGCCCCTTTCACTACCTACTTCTAACACAAAATTATTGCTTGAGAAAAGAGATATTATAGCTGGTATTTAAATTCTTTTCCTTTTTGAGTGTCCTTACTCCAGTGTATCTGGGGAAGCCAAACTAAACATTGAAGTGGCAAGTGATGTCAAAAGAGCTGATCCAATAATATCATCTAAATCTTTTCTACTTGTAATCAAAGTTTTATATTGTATCCCAAGTCTGATAACAGGCCTGGGGCTAGCGTTTGTCACAGAAGTTTAACATGTTGCTTGTGACACCAGCATCCCATATGAGTGCCAGTTCAAGTCCCAGCTGTTCCACTTCAGATCCAGCTCCCTGCTAATGGACCTGGGAAACCAGTAGCAGATGACTCAAGTCCTTGGACCCCTGCCATCAATGTGGGAAACCTGGATGAAGCTCCTGGCTCCTGGTTTTGGCCTGGCCCAGTGCTTGTCATTGTGGCCATCTGGGGAGTGAACCAACGGATGGAAGTAGTCTGTGTGTGTGTGTGTTTGTGTGTGTGTCTCCCTTTCTCTATAACTCTGCCTTTCAAATAAATAAATAAATAAATCTTTAATAAAATAAAAACAACAATAGGCAATAGGCCCTAAAAGGGCTGAAAAGTATCTGAGTCTCTTTTGTAATTTGTTCTCATTTAATGTCAAAGAAAATACCCAGATAGGATATAATTTAGTATCAAGACACAAAAAGTTACTCTCACACTTCAACTGTAATCAGAAAGGCCCGAGATAACCTTTAAAAAAGTATATCTAATATACTCTCTTGGAAGATAGATCTTTCAATGAAAACAAGAACACAATGAATACATTTTAGCAGTTATAGCCTGGGAAGGATACAACAATGGTATCTACTGCTGCAGGGTAAAGCTTAGCTCCTGGAGAAGTTAAGCCCGGACACATGATATTTGCTCCACTGAGTACAAATTTGATGGCTCCTTTATCAACTTGCTGGTGTGGCAGGATAAAAGGATCTAGAAGAAATATATTACAAATATTAAAACTAATTACTCAAAAAGAAAAAAAGCAAAGGACATAAACAAATATTTCCCAAAATTACAATACTCTGACAGATGAAAAATAAAACTAAAACATTACTTTTTACTTATCAAAGTTATAAATATTTTTATGAAAAGTAATTACCAGTGCTAGCAAGAAAGTGGGAACACTGGCATTCCCACACACTGTTAGGAGGCTTGTAAATGGTAATAACCTTTAGGACTACTTGGCAACATGTATTAACCACTTTGGAATTGTTCAAACTCTTATATTCAGTAATTCTACTTCTAGAATTTCATCCTAGGGGAAAATGAGGGAAGCAAAATTTATTTAAATAGAAAGACATTCACTGCAGCACTAATATTTATAATTCAAACAAACTGGAATCAATCTAAATGTCCAACAACAAAGTAAGTGGTAAATAATTTAAGGTATGTACAATATTCATGTATTTTATATATGAATATATATAAAATGTTTACATGTTTTTGTATATATGCTTGTATATATATAAAACAAATTAATGCTCTAGGAAATGCTCACGATATAAAGTTAAGTGGAAAAAAGTATAATTAAAAAACATCAGGAACCAATGCTATGGCATAGTGAGTAAAGCCACTGCTTGCAGTGCCGGCATCCCATATGGGCGCCGGTTCGAGTCCTGGCTGCTCTACTTCCAATTTAGCTCTCTGATATGGCCTGGGAAAGCAGCAGAAGATGGCCCAAATCCTTGGGTCCCTGTACCCATGTGGAAGACCTGAAAGAAGCTCTTGGCTCCGGATCGGTGCAGCTCTGGCTGTTGCGGCCAATTGAGGAGTGGACCAGCGGATGGAAGACCCCTCTTTCTCTCTCTGCCTCTCCTTCTCTCTCTGTGTAACTCTGACTTTCAAATAAATAAATCTTTAAAAAAACAACTATCAAAAAGATCAGTGGTTACTTAGGAGCTAGAAGAGAAGGAAAGAGACATAGGTGGGACATAAGGGCTATCTAGGGCAGTAAAGTTTTGTGTACTATAACAGTGGATACTTGACATTATAATCCACAAAACTGTACAACACAAAGTGAACCCTAATGTAAAGTTATTAATATTAGTTCATCAGCTGTAACAGGTGTATGATACTAATGCAAGGTGTTACTATTAGGGGACCTCTACAGAGAACTCCATTGTAGAAAAAAAAAATACATATATTACAGGAAACTAACAGCAGTTATCTCAACATCAGGGGATCATTAGTTATGTATTTCTGAACTTTGAAAATGTATATAAGATACATGAATTCCTTTTAGATTCTTTTTTCTTTTCTTACAAACCCTTGTGTCAAGGGCTGACTTTCAATAGATCACAGCAAGGGAGCTGCTCTGCTATGTATGAAACCCCGACCCAGAAACAGGTTATCTATGAACGGTTTAGTGCCAAGTTCCCCACAAACATGCATTGTGATGGGCGAGAAGGTGGCCCCCTTTCTGGCCTTTTAGATTCTTGAAAGAAATTAAGTACATGTATGTGTAAGTGTGTTTATTAACAATTCAAAACCTAACAACGGATCACTGCAGGATTTCAAATAATGACTGTAGGACGACATTTTAACCCTCTCAGGGTTCTGAAGGAGTAATAATGACAATAATGGGTAAAAATTATTTATTTTAATGCCTTATCCCTGGCCCTTTCACTATTCAAAGAACAGGTAAGTATTTTTCCTACCAAGGTACCAAAGTAATTTAAACATGGTACCAAATTAAATATCTTACTATTAAAAAGGAAAGTTAATGACTGCATTTACTGTTCACATGCTATAACTTATTTTCTAGTTCTTCATCTCCATTAATATCTGCCCCTTAATAATGATAATAATTACTATTAGTGAGCATTTATTGAACAATTATTATAGCATTACAATGGCTATCATATATATATATATATCACTTACTATGTTCCAGGCATTTTGCTAGGTATATTACATGCACTATTTCGTTTAATCCTCACAACCCTGGGAGATATATGAAATTATTGTGTCCATTTTTAAAGATAAGGAAGCAAAGCTTAAAGAAGTTAAATGACTTGCCAAAAGTGACATGCACTGGGAATCAAACCCAGGTCTGCATAACTCAAGTTTTAAACCACCATACTATCCTGCTTCTTGCACAAGAATAACTTTCAAATGTTCTAAAAGGTTCATATTCATTAATATGTTATTAAACAGGAATGATCCTTGCCCCCATTTATTATGAAAATGCTCGACATACAAAATACTAGAATAGCTTAATGAATACATGGACACTATCTACTTAGATTCACTAACTGTTCATTAATACCTTGCCATATTTCCTTTACCTCTTGCTTTCAAATAAACAAATCATTTTTTAAAATGTTTTTAAAAGAAAGTCTCTTTTTTTTTTTCTTTTTGTGGAGAGGTGATGCCAGGGAAGTAAAGAGGCCCTGAATTTTTTGTTTGTTTTTTCAAACCAGGAACCAGTCTAGGGTCATACAATATCTTAGTTGAACAGCAGTAATATCATCAAAATGCCTCAATGGCACTAAAATATTTTCACTTACAAATGCTCCCAATGCATCAGGATTCAATTTTTCACTGTACTTGATGAAATCAGTGTAATCAAATAATTGAACTTATTCTCTTGTAAATATTAAAATATTCTACCTCTCTCAAGACTTGCCTAAGAGGTTTACTGTTCCTGACCTCCAGATAATTCAACATTTACCGCCTATTACCTAAAAGCCAAACTCTTAAGTCACCAGCACTAACACAGCCTTGCCAGTCACTCCTTTCCCTTCTGCCTCTTAGCTAAAATGCCAGACTGAAAAGCAATTTTACTTCCCATCTGAAAATTTCTTGTACACTAGAATTATATCTTCCTTTGGATTTCTTTTGTAAAATATTCAGTCTAACAACATTCAGGAGCTGGAGTTGTGGCATAGAGGATTAAGCTACCACCTGCAACACTGGCAACCCGTATGGGTACCAATTCAAGTCATGGCTACTCCACTTTCCATTCAGTTCCCTGCTAATGGGCTGGGAAAGCAATGGAAGGTAGTCCAAAGTTTGGACCACTGCCACCCACGTGGGAGACCTGGATGGAGTTGCAGACTCCTGGCTTCAGTTTGGCCCAGTCATGGTCATTGTGGCCATTTGGGCAGTGAACTAGCAGATGGAAGATCTCTCTGTCTCTCCCTCTCTCAGTCATTCTGCCTTTCAAATAAATAAATAAATCTTTAAAATAATGAGTTAACTATCAAAAGTTACTTGCAATTCCATTTGTGATTTCCAATAATGCCAAATGCATATTTCTAACAAGACTTACATTTGTGAAGCAACCTTAGGGTTGGATAAAAAGGCCCTTCTCTTTGTCTAAAAAATAGTAATTCTCCATTTACTGTAAGGATTTCTATATGTTCATGGCTGTAAGACAAATGACAAAGTACCAAGTTAGATATTTTAGGAATATCAAATATCTTTTAAAATGCACATAAAACATGCATGTACAAAGATACAGTAAATTTAAAAATTTTTTTCAATAAAGAACTCAGCCAAAAAACACCATTTACATTGTCTTTCCTCTACTAGTCCAATAGAGGGGGAAATAAAGAAAAATATGACCTGCTACAATCAATTTTATTTCACATTTTATTACTTTAATTTCATGTTATGTAATTCAATAAAACAAATCTCTGTAAAACAAAGCTGAAATAAATCAAATTCAACTCTGAAAATATTTAACTCTTTAATAAACAATTCACAAAGTCACACTTCTCATGGACATAAAAACATCTGAAAATACAAATATGGATAAGTTTTAGTTATTCTGCACCTATTTCCATCATTAATCTATCAAGAGTTAATGTGAAAATAATTCCATTTAGCACAAGTGGAATCTAGTCAGTAAATATTCAGCTACTATGAGTTTTACATAGAAAAAAAATAAAAACTTACCATCGAACTATTTTGACAGGATCTTTCTTAGGCATGATTTGATTAAGCCATGGTTCAATACCTGGAAATTGATCTATCAACTGGTTCTTAATACCCTTAATTACTGAGGTTTTCAACTGGATGCAGTTGGACACATTTTCTTTTTCATCAAATCTGCCAAATGATTTTTGCAAGAAAAAAAAGGTATTTCTAAGCAAAAGCAGAATAGCTAAAGGTATTATTCTAATCAGTCATCCATTCCCAAACATGTATTTAAATCTTAAAATATTTAAGAAATAAACTTGTTTTTAAAAATGCCATTTCCCTTTTATTCTTTGCAGCACAAAGCCACATCTTAACAACGGTATTATAACAAACTTTCATGCACAAAGCAATTAGCTGAAACGGAGTAGTGGGAGAGATGAGACAAATTTTGCACTATAATCTGTAATCAGATACAAAAATGCTTTTCCTGAAAAATCTTAGGCATTCTACCCAAAAAGAAACATTCTCCAACCAATAATAAAACCTGTATTTAAAAAAAAGTTTTCAACTGTTGATGCAAAATATTAATTTGAGATACAAAGTATCAATCCAAATACAGCACAGAAAACCAGCCGCTGCTAGGCTATGTAATCTGCCAAGATTTGACTAAAAAGTGACGATACTTCCTAAAATCCCTATTTATTTTTGCTTAAAATTTCATGCACAAAACCCACCTTCCTTTGCCCATGTTCCCCCTTCTTTTTTTCCGTTTACCAAATCCGTAAAGCAAACCTACTACGTAGGTTCCCAACGAATTTTTGTCTTACACTGAAAGGCCTATTAGGCAAGCACGTTATTTTTAAAGACAAGGTTAATCTGGAAGCTAGGCGATAAGCATGACAGGCCACTTGCTTCCTGTCACCCAGACTCCTTCACTCCCATGACCCAGGAAGTCAAGCCTTCCCTTATTTAGTTCATATCTAATAAACATATGGCAGTGAGCACAGGGCTCCCCTCTCAGCTAAAGAGGATATGCCCCTAAATCACAGTGCAAGAATGTGATTGGTAGAACCCTAGGAGTGGAGACAGAACTGGGGGAGGAGGCAAAAGAAAAAGAGATAAAGAGAAAGAAAATAGGAGTGGAGGAACCGAACCCCGATTAAGAACTAGGGATGAAAAGCTTAAAGAGGTGTTGCGAGTTGCGAGTGAGAGCATAGTGCTATAGAAAACCTTAGGGAGTCAGGATGGCAGGGGCGGGGGAGAGAGAAAGAGGATTGTTGCTCTCGCCCTCTTCCCCACCTCCACCCCCACCGCCTTTGTGAGCAACCGATGGAGGCCACAGCATGTCCTTACTTCTTGAACATGATCCAAGGTGAAGGGGGCGACGATAGGGAAGGGCCCGGATTGGGAAAGAAATTGAATTAGCAATGGTCCGGCAGATCCCCCTACACGAGGAAGGCCGGCTCTGACAGTCGGAGCTGGTGTCGTTACCCGGAAGACGAGAAAGCCCGTCGCGCTTTACGGCTCCTTGAAATCTGACTACTTCCGCTCCTTGAGCTCCACGTCGGCGCTTTTGCCGGCTTCTTTTGGGAACGGATTCTTCTCTACTGAGGGTAGCTGAAAGGGCGGGACTTGAGAAGGAAGAAGTGATAAAGCAATTCTTTCTCCTTGCAGGAAGAGAAGAATGGAGGAGGCGGGGAATCGATCAAAGCAGCATTTATGGCAGTTGCGTCAGTTACGGGTTCCGCAACGGGTCAAGAATCTTCGGTGCTTCGTTGCTAACCGCTGTTAACGTAAACAATTTTTTAGTGGGAACAGTTTTTGTTCTTTGTTTGAGAAATGAAATAGCCTGGTGCCTATCGACCAGCTTAAGCTCAGGCAAGCCCCGTGGCTTCATTTGATTATACTGACAGGGTTGCCAGGTGTAGTAAATAAAAAGTACAGGACAGTTAAATTTGAATTTCAGATAAACAGCGAATACTTTTTTTTTTTAAGACAGGGACATTTTCCCCCTATTTTATTTTAAATACAGAGATATCTTGTCCTCTGGTTTCACTTCCCAAATGCCGGCAACAGCCAGGGCTCGTCAAGGCTGAAGCCAGGTGTCCACAACTCAATCCGGATCTCCCACGTGTCTGACAGAGACGCAAGTAGTTGAGCCATCACCTGCTGCCTTCCCACTGTGTGTATTAACAGTAAGTTGGATCAAAAATGGAGTAGCTAGGACGAGAAACAAGCACTCCAACGTGGACTGCAGAGCGTCCCACCCTCATGAATACAGTTTTAAATGTAAGTATACCTCATCAATATTTTGGACATACACTAAAATATATAGTCCTTGTATCTGAATTTAATTGAACATCCTGGTTTTTAATCGAGTAACCCTGTTCACCGGCCACAAGTAAGGTACCCTTATAGAATAAAATAAAAGTCAGTAGATTGCAATCTCTTGCCTCCCCCTGTACCTACAAGTTGAGCTATAAAAAGGTAATTTCCTTGAAGGATAGAATGGACTTTGGTGAGAAATACTAGACTAATCAAACTGAAAAGACAACAGCTAAAGAAAACACTTTGCTTAAGTATTTTTTAAAGAGCTGAAAGAAAAAAATTATACACATCAAGGGTTTTGATCAGCAAAGAAAGCATAGAAAAAAATTTTAAACCTGAACAGTCTCTACTCAGGAGGTAGGATGAATGTGCACTAACAGTAGAACAAATACACTTGTCTCTCCAGGGAGCGAATACTCCAGTCCATATTGGAGGGATAGACCATTAGAACACTCATAACAAATGGTACTATATATTTGAATTGTCCCACAAACTCACTTTGTCTTCATTCTGAGGTACCAATAATCTTCTGACTACAAGTTGGGTTCCCTTGAGTATCTATCCACAGGGAAAAAAAAATTTGCTCTTTTTGCGTCAAATCTATGTGAACAATTATGTTTGTAAAATTAATAATTAAGCATTTTGATTTATACATCAGTGTCTTGTAAAAGTCCTTAGTGTGAATTCACATTCCCAGTGTCAGTCAACTATGTGACATTTAGAATATTGAGTTTATGAACCTGCAAAACCGAAGACCAGATCTCAAACTACGGTTTGGACTACAATCAGGCTTCTTGCCAAGCATCATTCTTCTCCTGGTAGCTTTAACATCATCCTGTAAGCCTACCAGTTAACTACAAATAATTGTAAACAGTAATCAACAGCTATTGTTAAGCACTTAGAAATAAGTGAAAAATAGATGATTTGGGGCCAGCATTGTGGCTTAGCGGGTAAAGCCGCTGCCTGCAGTGCCGGCATCCCAAATGGGCACCGGTTCGAGACCTGGCTGTTCCACTCCCCATCCAGGTCTCTGCTATGGCCTGGGAAAGCAGTGGAAGCTGGCCCAAGTACTTAGGCCCCCACACCCACGTGGGAGACCCAGAAGAAGCTCCTGGCTTTAGATCGCCCCAGCTCCAGCCATTGCGGCCATCTGGAGAGTGAACCAGCAGATGGAAGCCCTTTCTCTCCCTCTCCCTCTCCCTCTCCCTCTCCCTCTCCCTCTCCCTCTCCCTCTCCCTCCCCCTCCCCCTCCCCCTCCCCCTCGGCCATCCTCCTCTGCTTTCCCAGGTGCATTAGCAGGGAGCTGGATCAGAAGTGGAGCAGCAGGGACAGGAACCAGCTCCTATATAGGATGCCAGCACTATAGGCAGTGGCTTAACCTGCTATATCACAGCATTTTTGGCAGGCAGTTACAGAGAGGTAGAGGCAAAGAGAGAAAGAGGTCTTCCGTCCACTGGTCCACTCCCCAAATGGCCAAAATGGCAAGAGCTGAGCTGATCTGAAGCCAGGAGCTTCCTCCGGGTCCCCCATGTGAGTGCAGGGGCCCAACAGTGCTGGCCCCCCATTTTTTTCTTTTTACAAAGGTACTCACTGTACACATAGCTGAAGACACAGAAAATCTGAGTTTTTCATACATTTTTACTAAAAGAAGTAATCTAGTTATAAATAGCATTAAACACTTCACAATAGTGTTGCCTGCTTAGAATTTTGATGAGATTTTAAAGAGCCATCTTGATGCAAGGCTCTGAAATGCTGCCCAAGGAAGTTTGTAGTTAGGCTTTTCTTTTTCATAAATGTCCCTGAACATTAAAACATGGCACCCAAACTCTTCAGAGTATTTAGGAAAGAAAGGTTTCTTCACAGTGACAGAAAGAGAGAGAGAGAGAGATGTCTTCCATCTGCTGTTTCACTCCCCTGATGGCTGCATTGGCTGAGGCTGGCCAGGCTGAAGCCAGGAGCAATGAGCTTCATTCAGGTCTCTCACGTGAGGGGCCCAAGTACTTGGGCCATCCTCTGCTGCTTTTCCCAGCATATTCCTGTCATGTTTTCAGCTCACTCTCATTCTCCCCAATGATACTCCAACCCCTCAACAAATAACTCATTTCCTAGAGATAAAGTAGAAGTCTTCAGATGGGAAGACAAGCAAACTAGAAATAAACATCTTTTCCTACTGTTAAGATGAAAGACATTCTTTTTCTAATCTAGGTCTAATTTTTCCATCTGCATTCCAGATCCCAGTCATGTTACTCAATCTATTGTTGCCTGTCTCCTATATTTCAACCTGTCTCTCTCTCCTGGCTTCTTGTCAGCTTTTTCAAGAGAAATGTATATATTTTCCCAAATTATATAACATTCAAACAACATAGAAGTAAAATGACAATAATAATATTAAGTACTTGTGCCTTAGTCTGACACTGTTGCAAGTACTTCCATATATTAATTCATTTAATTCTTGGAGTGATTTATAAATTATATTATTAGTATTTCCATTTTATAGATGAAGAAACTGAGGAAAAAGATTAGTTTGCCCAAGATTATCCAGCTATGAATACTGGAATCTGGATTTGGAACCCAAGTAGTTACAACTTGTGCTCTCTAAATTGCAACACTTAAAGACATCCTGCCCTGCCTCTTCTCCTCAGCTCTTCCCTTCCATCCACAAACACAAGAACTGGTGGTAGTTTTATGTGTATCTTTCCAGAAAATTGTTGATGCATTTACATATATATTGCACACACATGCATTTTAAAAAGTTTTTTATTTTATTTTTAAAATTTATTTGAAAATCACAGTTACAGAAAGACAGAGATAGAGAGAGAGAGAGAGAGATCTTCCATCTACTGTTTTACTCCCTAGATGGCTATAATGGCTGAGGCTGGGCCAGGCTGAAGCCAGGAGCCATGAGTTTCATTCGAGTCGAGTCTCTCATCAGAGGCACAAGTACCTGGACCATCCCAGCATATTAGCAGGGAGCTGGATCGGAAGTAGGGCAGACAGGACACAAACTGGCATCCATAAGGGATGCTGACATTGCAGACAACGGCTTAACCTGCTGCCCCACAGCATAAATGGGGTCACACTATATACACTATTTTGCTTTTTTTCTATTCATTTCACTAGAGAATTTCATCTTGAAGGTTTTTCCATGTCAGATGATAAAGATGGAGATACAAAAAGAAAGTGGAAGATATGTTATTGCTTTTGTGGTCTATAGGGCATTCCACAGTATATGTGTACCACAATTTGTTTAACCAGTCCCCTTCTGATCATCATTTAGACACCCACAAGAAGGATGAGATGGAGCCACACAATTCCAGGTTTCTTAGACCTTCTGCAAGCCTCCAATCTTCAGAAGTTATGATTCTGTGTTCTGGCATCTATTCATTTCACTTCAGAAGTTCTCAACAATATCAACAGGAAGTCAGAAGATACCCCAAATACAGCCCTATTCCTACCAGTAGTCAAGAGCAAAATCATACACTAGGACTAAAACCATAACACCTTGAGGTTCTCACCTTTTATCAGTAAAACACTCCAAGGAAAGGATTAGATTGGAGCAAATATCAGGCTTCTCCAAACTCTTGCTTCTATCAACATAAGTTAAAGGACAGTTCCAGACACCCAACTCTCCCAGTAGATTTACCATCATTATGTAATTTGAGTCTACAAGGGACTGTTCTCTTTTTTTCTTTTTTAAAAAGATTTATTTGTTTGTTTATTTGAAAGACAGTTACAAAGAGAGAGAGTGAAAGCGGGGAGAAGAGATAGAGATATCTTCCATCTGCTGATTCACTCCCAAAATGGCTGGAATAGCCAGGGCTGGGCCAGGCCTAAGCCAGGAACCAGAAACTCCATCCAGGTGACCCATGGGTGGCAGGGGCTCCATGGCAGGGGCTTAAACACTTAAGCTATCATCTGCTGCCTCCTAGGATGCATTAGCAGGATGCTGGATTGGAAGCAGAGAAACTGAGACTAGAAAAGGCACTCTGATATGGGACTGTGGATATCCCAAGCAGTGGTTTAACCTGCTATGCCACAATGCCTGCTCCTATTTTCATCATCTTAATCAGGCTTTGTATATTCCCTATTCTGTCGCCATCTCTCATGTTTACTTAACTACTGAAATCTACACTATACCTTCCAGAACTCATATTCATTATTAGTTAAACCTGTATTTTCAGCCTTTCTGTGTGCCTCTTTCACCTTCTTATATGAAAACAAACTTGGGTCTTTCCTACAGTCATTACTTCCTCTGTATGTAGCCCTCAGATGATAGCTGTTTATTTTCCCACAGGGAAGGATAGATGTCTTCTTTGTTCCTTTCTGACATTTCCAGATCATTCATCTCCTTAAAACTTCCCTGTTTTGAATTTCATATCAACAGATTACATGAAGATACTTTAAAATGTTCATGGATGGGGCCGGCGCCGTGGCTCTCATGGTTAATCCTCTGCCTTACGGCGCCAGCATCCCACATGAACGCCAAGTTCTAGTCCTGGTTGCTCCTCTTCCAGTCCAGATCTCTGCTGTGGCCCGGGAGGGCAGTGGAGGATGGCCCAAGTGTTTGGGCTCCTGCACCCGCATGGGAGACCAGGAAGAAGCACCTGGCTCCTGGCTTCGGATCGGCGCAGCGCCGACCATAGCGGCCATTTGGGGAGTGAACCAATGGAAGGAAGACCTTTCTCTCTGCCTCTCTCTCTCACTGTATATAACTCTGTCAATTAAAAAAATGTTCATGGAAAATATAATTAAAGTTTATTTTGAATAGACATTGTGGTACATTGAATTAAGTTGCTGCTTGGGACATCAGCATCCTATAGTGCAGTACCTAGTTTGAGTCCTAACTACTTTGCTCCCAATTCAGCTTCTTGCTAATGCACCTGGGAGGCAGCAGATGAAGACCCAGTACTTGGGTTCCTGCTGCCCATGTGGGAGACCCAGATGGAGTTCCTGGTTCCTGG